ATGGTTGTAATTCCTACACGGTTCATACTACATTTTTGAAAAAAGCCTTAAATGAAAGCTGAGAGTCTGCACTTTAAGCAGGTATTCATTGTTTCATTTAAAACCCATTGTGGTGGTGTACAGAGCCAAAATGACGACAACTGTATCATTGTCCAAATAATTATGGACCTGACTGTATATACGTTATAATGATCCTTAATGGGAGATGTAGGAAGTCTGCAATGTGTAAACACAGTGCATGCTTCCTAGTTTTCTAGTTCCCTCTAGACAGAAAGAGAGGCAGCATTTTTACCTCTTGTGATGTAAAAGTGAAGCCAAAGAAGAAAAGATATGAGTCAGTGTTCACCTGTATTTCTTTTAACCCCACAGAGGGAATCCAGGCAGGCTTTCCCAGTGCATGACTCAACCCGCTACTAGCAGAAATAAGACATCATACAGTGCTGATTTTCTCTTTCCCTCTTGCTCAACATTCTCAGTCATTTAGTGTGAAGCCACCTGACAACTACTTCATGTTCTCACAAAGGCGCGATGTTTAGCCCTGATGAAGCACTTATTTCTGATGACTGTGCACCTCCGAAAATGGCTTACTAAGTCATTTCTCAGAAGCCTCCCCTTTGTTGTGTGACATGTCACTGTTGTTCCAGTAATTCGGCCCAAACTGCACCATTTCTGACAAGCTCTCACTCTGCTGTTGTGGTTCTTCTTGGACAGTTTGGGCTGCATTTGCTGCACATGACAAGAGCTGGCCTGTCCAGTGGGGGGCAGTGTATCGTTACCCCCCTCTGTGACAGCAACAACAACCTTGAGGAGCACATTTAGAGGACGAAGTTTATCCGCAGCTTTTAAAAAGAACGCCTACTCTTGTACATGGAGGTGTGTGTGTGTGTGTGGGTGTACTTGGTGTCTGCTGTGTTTTTGTTGTTGTGGAGGCTTTGATCTTTTTTTTCATGATTTGCTTGTCCTCTGTGGTTTGGAGTTGTCAGTTTTGGTTGCACTCTAGCATGGCGCGCGTGTGTGTGTGTATGTGTTTACATTTGTGGTTTATGGTTGTTGAAGCTCTTAAATGTCAGGCTGGGTTGGAATAATGAAAGGTGCTAAATCAGTCCATGCATCATATATTCAAATTTGGTGGCATTTCTTTATCTCTTTGTTGAGTCCTCAAATGTTATTGCGCCTGCCTCCGCAAAACACAATTATAATCAACAACCACAAAAGTTTTCACCCCACTAAACCACTTCTTTGAACATTAAAGTGCTGCTGTTTTGTTGTAAGGTGGAGGGTGGTTAGGACAGAGACAGTTACACTAAGGAAGAACTAAATAAATTAGCAGTGAAGGATAAATTCTTGTCCTGGTTCAGTCCGACACACTAAATGTGTTGGGGCAAGCTTGTAAGTTTGCTGCATGTTCCTGTGGTTTTACGGCTGTTCTTACCTCTCAGAGTTGTTTCATGAGGTTAATGTTTCTTCACCTTAGCATGGCAGCTTTCCTAATTGGTTTGTTGGTTTTAAACTGCATCAGTTGTGTTTTGGCCTTGTTACAGTTTGAATGAGAGTTGGATGTTTGAAATTCTTTAGGCATTTGTTGATTTAATAAGCTGGAGGACTACTGAAGAGTTAAAGCATCTGGTTTCTTTTACTGTAGTTTTTCAAACTAGATATTTAGGGCTGCAACTACATCATTAATCTATCTGCTGATTAATCAGTTTGGGAATGCTGGGTATATTTGCTTTGAAAATGACTCTTGTTTTATTATCAAAATAGTTACTGATAAATTTTCTGTTAAATTAAGTTAGTATTTGACCTCTATAAATATTCACCCTGTAAAATTGCTGTTATTTATACAAGTTAAATGTAGTAGTTGTGTTGATGTGAGTAGGTTGTAGCAGTAGAAGGCACAAGACAGTATAAATACTACATCTATAGCACAGACTGTATAAAAATAATGGACGTAGCCACTGTACCATAACCCTCTGATTTGTTTGGACAAGAGCTGTTAGCTTGGTTAGCGCAGTGCATTTACAGATGTAGTTAATTGTGTTAATGCTAATGCTAATTTTCGCTAGTAAAAAACAGGTATGAATTCATTAAAACAAAATGCACTTGCCAGAGAAAACTGAACATCCAACTCCTTAGAGGGTCTTTTAATACAACCAAAGACTGAACAAAAGTTTGCAGTTAACGTAAATGAACTGAAAACATGTAAGGAAACTACATGATGATTGATGACGCAGCAACCTGTGGGGCTGAAAAATTAAGCCAATGCAGAAGTACCAAAAACTGCAGTTCCTCTAATGGCCACTTGAGGCTGGCTCCAGAAGCCAGTCAATCCACAGACCCCCGTGTTAAAATGCCAAATTTTACAGCAGAAATAAAAATGGTACAAAATCGTTTTTGTCTATATCGCTAATTTCCCCGTTCACTGTACGAGAGGTGGATTTTTATATAACTCGGCCATTGACATTTTATTAAGGCTGAAAGTTGTGTATATTAAGGCCATGGTTGCTTTAAGTGACAGGCGGGTGCAGTCTGCTACCACAGTGACAGTGTTGGTTAGGTAACGAGTATAGCATAGCTGTAGCTGTTGCTATTTAAGTGTGTTTCCAGTCCATTAAAGTTAATTGTTACGTTTTGGTTACCTAAAAAAAAGTCTTGTTCAGTGTTGGAGGAGTTGGATGTTCAGTAATTCTGGTTAGTACAGTTTATTTTGATGGTTGTAAGAAGTTTTTTTGGTAACAAAAATTATCAATAGCATAATTACTACAGTTAAACATACAGTAGCTGTAATAGCATGCTAACCAAGCTGGCAGCTAGCATTACGGTTAGCTTCACCCTCCATCCAAATATGGTCACTTCTGACTCCAACAATCCAAGATAGTGACGGCCAAAATGCCAAACTTGAAGCACCAGTGGGTGACGCCACGGTGGCTGCATCCCCTCTTTTAAACAGTCTATGGGGATTTACTCTCTTTGGGAGCCCGCCTCAAGTAGCTATTTAGTTGTACTGCACTATTTGGAACTTCACGTTGGCTTCATTTTTTAGCCCTGGAGGTTGCTGCTTGATCTATAGCCAAACAGCTTGGCAGCATCACCTACCCTGGACTTAGCAGATTTAAATGACCTCAGTGCATAACCTTTGTACTGTTGGATTTCTAACCAGGAAGTAGGCCATGGTGCTCATCTCAAGTGCAGAGAGTCCGACCAACAGGCCCAAATCCAGAAATACCCCTTAAATAGACAAAAACAGAAATTAACCAGAGAATATTTGACATCGTTGCTTGATAATCAACCTAAATGATTAATCAGTGGTCAGATTTGTTGCTGATAAATTTTCTGTTCATAACTAATCAAATAATCAACTTACTGTTGAAGCTCAGCTCTTATCTTCAAAACTCTGCTACATCATGCTGGTCTCAGTCTAGCTCAAAAATTAATAATCTAATCATGTTCTAACGCTCTTAATGGAAATTTTCTTGAACTGTTGAAGCTGTGAACATCTGCACACAGTGTGACATGTTGCTTGTTAAACATGACTGCTTTCGCTGCATTTATACTCAATCTAACGTTGGCGTGATCAAAGTGATCCAAGATGCCGTATCATGCCACAGCTCCGGCTTCCAGTTGAGCAAAGCTTCCTTTAGATTTCTGCTTTCTGTGGTTTACTTATATCTTCACCAAGCTGAAGATGCTAACTTGATCGTGTGGCATGAGTTCCTTTGATCACTCTTGAGCTTCACTGAAAATAAATAGAAAATAATGTTCAGAGTTCAACCTCTTTAAATACTTTTTGTCTCCTGACAGGGCGAAAACCAGTGACTGCTAACCACCTCCACCTGCAGCCATGCACCTACAGCTCTGGCAGCGAAGCCAACATCGGCAGGGATCTCCAGCTCTCTCCCAACCTCTGTGTCCTTCCTCCTCAACTCCAAACCATTCTTCCTCACCTCCACCTCAACAGCCAGTTCTCCTCTTGTTATTGCTTTTATTTTTGTCCCAGCCCTGAAACATTATTCAGCCACCATACACACCTCCCTCTTCATCCACAGCATGTCACTCCTCAGTCCTCCACCTCACAGGTCCCTCATGTCTCCTCACCCTCTCTAAACTGTTTACAGCAGACACTTCGACATTCTTTGAAGACAGCACATTTGAAGAGAAGAACACACCAGCGCTCTCTCCCTCCGTCACACCTCAACCACAGCCTATGCTGCTTCTGGAGTCATAATTTTATTTCTTTCTTTTTTTTAATTTGCTTTAATAATATTATTTGCAGCTTTGTCATTCTGTTATGCTTCTTTGCATTTATGCATTCAAGACTGATACTAGGAGCTATGCATTGCCAATTTGTAATGCTGTTCATATGTGTATTTTTAGAAAAACCTTTTTCAGAGGCAAAAATAAATATGCTCTATTTTTTATAAGGAATTACTTGAAGTTTTTCACAGTGTTGGGGGTTGCACTGCCTCCTCCCACATGAGAAATTCAGTGGCATGTAATGTCCATGATGTACATAGTGTTCTTTTTAAAAAGATGTGTAAAAAGACATATTTTTGCTCGTTTAAAAAAAAAAAAAAAAAACAGAGACAAAGGACAATGTTACATATTTGAATACAGTAGAAAGCTGATTTGATGACTTGTTCTCCTTTTGAAATGAAATCGTCTTAAGTTTCTCTTTCTCTTAGAGTGTAATCTACAAATAAAACTGGTATTATCTAGTTTACACAACAACCTGTCCTTTCTCTTTCTTTTCTGGTTTTTTCACCACAGTCCTGTTAGCTGCTTCTTCACAAACTTTAAAGGAACAGTGTAAGATTGAGGGGGCTGAAGCTTTTGGTCAGTATTCCCTCAGTGTTCATTGTTCAGGAGGTTTGTAGATGATTAAAATAAAAAAAATTAAAAAAAAACAGACACAAAAAAGCAGTTTCACATTACAAAGAACATTTTTCTCATATGCTGTTCACCACATCCCAGGCAGCCTGCTTGCCCATTACCTGCCAATGTATGCTCACCTCATTTATAAACCAGACAGATATGGCTGATTTTCAGCCAACAAAAGCACAACAAATCTTATTTTCATGTGATTATACACTAAAGAAAACACTTTTTATATTCCATTTCCGCCAATTTATCACCCTAAATCCTACACCCTGGACCTTTAAATTAATAGTGCATCATTTGCGCTTTTAAACAAAATCTCAGAAAACTTATAAAAATTGTCTTAATATGAGTAATAAACTGGGGAAGTTTCATGGCGACTTACATACACCAAACTGTCCAGTATTATGCCCATCTACGTATATTTATATTATACGACACATATTCCTAAAAACATGGCTTTTTTAATATCAGATTTATGGAGGGATTAAGAGAGATATGTCAACAAAATTAAACTTTGATGCAAACACAGTGCATATGTCATCAGATAATGCACATTTGCATACTTTAACATATCTTTGAAGACAATAATTGTAGTACAAAAAAAACTGTCTTAAGCAATCAACTGAGGAAGTTTCATGGTGATGTTTGTGATTAAAAGTTTTACCCTTTGTCTTAAAATTAGTTAGATACACTGATCAGCCAAAACATTAAAACCACTGACAGGTGAAGTGAATAACTTTGATTATTTTGTTCCAATGCATTGTTCTGCTGGGAAACCTTTG